CTCTCTCTCTCGCTCTCTATCTCTCTCACACACACACACACGATGCGCAAAACTCCGCATTTGAACAGTCAATAGCAAATACTTCAACTAATAACACCTCCTCTCCTAGGTTCACGAAATGGTCATCCATAAAATTGCTGATCTGTTGTAAGTAATCTTAATGATTCCTAAATGCATCTACTTTCGGAAGGCCAAATAAAGTGCTTTTGCTTTCGCCTAGAAACACACAGCGTCTCCCTGACATGGCTGCTTCAACACTAACTGCAGTTACTGAAACCACACCTTCTTTCTTTGCGTGAACATTTGGGCGGCATTACGCAAATATTTCCACATAGTGACGTAGATATGTGGGGGCGTGTTAGAAAGAGCCATTTTAGGGGGGCGTGGCAGAGGCTTAACTTTGATAAAGAATATCTCTTTGGTTTTGAGACTTTAGCCTTTGCAACTTCAGCTATCTTATCTATGCACAAACAGCTTGTAACACTCCAAAGAGAAAGGAAAACTTGAAATCTCATCATATGACCCCTTTAAGCGCCTCCTGAAAAATAACAATCTTGATAACACCTATTGAATAACTACAGACCGATATCAAATCTTCCTTTTATAGGCAAGATTGTTGAAAAGGTTGTTTTTAATCAGCTTAACTACTAAACTCAAATGGATACCTGGACAATTTTCAATCTGGTTTCCGACCGCATCACATCACAGAGACAGCACTCATAAAGATAGTAATTGATTTCCGCTTAAATTCTGGCAAAATATCAGTGCTGGTACTACTAGATCTCAGTGCTGCACTCTCTCGCGAATGGGTGTATGACAGTGGAAGTTAGAGATTAAGGTTTATAAAGTTGTAAATATGGATATTTTTCTTACACAAACGCATCACGTCGCTTCAGAAGGCCTTTATTAACCCCCCGGAGCCGTGTGGACTTCTTTTATAATGGATTGGTTAAATTTTTTGGACTTCAAATTTTGGGCTACCATCCACTCCCATTGTAAAATTTGGAAGAGCCAGGATGTTTTTTTAATATAACTCCTGATTGTATTCGTCTGAAAGAAGAATGTCATATACACCTATAGGATGGCTTGAAGGTGAGTAAATCATGGGGTAATTTGCATTTTTGTGTGAACTATCCCTTTAAGAGCAGCAACAACATATTAGTGCATAAATAACACACATTTAGCTCAATGAGCGGAACACAGTACCCACAAGTTAAGGACGTACTGTATATGAAGTTCAGCATGAGCAAATACGAACAATGCCATCCACTCAGTGAGGCAAACAGCCTCCAACTGGAGCCCATAATCTTTATGAAAAACATAGATTGTGCAATGGATATATTTGTTCAAATTGGTAAGTACAGAAAGTCAGTGAATAGCCCTTGTAGCGGTGTGTATGTGTATGTGTATGTTAGACCAGTTTATGTGTGTATGTAGGATGTTAGACCAGTTTATGTGTTTATGTAGTATGTTAGACTAGGTTAAGTGTTTATGTAGTTAATAAAACCTTACTTGTATCACACTTGACGTGTTCATTGTTTGCTCATATTATTCATATTTCCTGTCGTTGAGCTAAATTCGCTACACCCTACAACAACACACTGGTGTAAGCATATCGTAGCATACCAGACCATATGACATAGTCGCAACAACTCACTGAGGAGGGGCATGGCAACAAGGCCTCTCAGCAATCTAATGTCAGCTCATCTGTAAAGCTGTTAAATTTAGCAAATGCTTTCTACAGACATCTCCCCGAACTCCAAACAAGCGACATCAGTCGAAAGGGCACGTAGACCTGCTTACATCACATGAGTGAGTTGGAGACCGACCGCAGACTTCTCTGCACTCTGTACATGCCTGGCCGCTGTTCCGATGCAGGGGCTGCTTATAACACATAGATGAGTAAGCAACTGGGAAACCTCCATGATCTGCACATGGCTGACCGCTGTGCTGAGGGGGTTGCTTGCAAGTGCGAGTGAATGACCAACCAAAACCTTCTGAGCTCTGTACACAACTGACCATTGCTCTGAGGCAAGGGGCTGCTGCTATCGGGAGGATAAGTGAGTGACTGAGACTATGCTGTGTTCTGTATATGGTTGGCAGCCACTCTGAGGCAAGGGGCTGCTGATATTAAATTAATTTGTGAGTGACTGGAACTTTTCTGTGCTCTGCACACAGCTGGTCGCTGCTGAGGAAGGGGGCTGCTGATATTGTGCAAATTATTGAGCAACTGGAAATTCGCTGTACTTTGTACATGGCTGGCCACAGCTCGGAAGCAAGGGGCTGCTAATATGAGGTGAATGTGTTAGCTACTAGAGCTTTCCCGAGCTCTGTACATGACTGACGCTTGTCTGAGGCAAGGGGCTGCTGGGTATCATGTGAATGAGCGATCTAGTGACTGGAACTTCTATGCACACTGCACACAGCAGGCCGCTGCTCCGAGGCAGGGGGCTACTTGTATCCTGCGAATGAGGGACTGTGAACCTCTGTAAATCTCCTCTCTTAAGCAACACTGTCAGCGGCGAGGCAATTCAAGTCCTCATGATTTGCTACCCGAGTCTTAGGGCCTTAGTTTGCTGGAGGGTAGGCAAACTTGTGTAGCACTGCATCTGCGTGGGACCACCCAGGTAGAGAGGCAGTGAATATTCATTCCGAAGGCTAGACATGGGAGGTTTAGGTGAACAAGGGAATGTGGGATTTGACCCGTCCCAGGTCCATCACCTAAACCCCCTATCTCAAGCTGCGGGGGCTTTACCTCCATGGCTCGATGGCAGAAAGGAAAAGCAGTACGGACAGCTTCTCCATCGAAATAAAAAAGATGTCATGCTGACAGAATGCTTCAGGGAATGGCAATCCTGGCACCATCCACTGGAAAGCATGCTTTCTACTGTGAGTAATAGGAGGCTTCATAGCTACATAAAAGGAGAAAGATTATGAGGTAATATGGCGCTTGGTGCTGCCTTTATAGTGGCTGAGCCCACAAGCCAGAAAGGAACGCCAACGCCAGTCACAGGGATTGACTGTCACAACAAAGTAGAGTTTGAACACCCCGCCCCCTAGCTTAACTGGAAGTTTTTTATTGGTGTTGCACCCAAGTCAGACATGTTTGTTATTGCCTGAAGCACAGGGCTCCACCCCAGTAGTTTGAAAAGTGCCTGTCAAATGCTAGCTTGCCATGTTTCTTTATCAGCACCTTTGTCTTTTTTTTTGTATTTTGTACGCTTGGTGAAAAATAAACGTAACTGGCAGCTCGCCCTGTTTCTCCATAATTGGCATCTTTTTTTTTGTATTTTGTACTTTTGGTGAAAAATAAAAGTAGCAAAGTTGAATACTATTTTTATTTAACTCAAGTAAAAGTACCACAATTTAATTATACTCAAGGAAGTAGAAAAAAGTGCTTATGTACTGTAACAAAAAATATTCGTAATTAGCTACTTTCCACCTCTCCCTTGGTGTTACTATCAGTTCAACTATATGGTAACCTCTGACCTAGAAATACACAAAGTACACAATGTAGGGAACTTTCTAGTGCAAATCAAAGTTTGTCCCGTCTGCCCCTCACCATAGTGATGCTTTTGCACAAGTCATTCACTGAAGCAACTCTCTCTTTGCTGATTTTGGGCAGGGTGGGTGTTGGCTGTGATGATCCATGCCAGGATGTCGAACTTCTACTCACACTACAAGAATTCCACTCAGGCAAACGCTGCCTGGTGCTCTGAGTGGACAAAGAGCTGTGGTTGTGTGTCTGAGGATGGCTGGGAGGGCTGGGATTGAGTCTAGGGAAGGGGAGGTCTGGGTTCTTTACTGTAGATCTGACTCTGGAGAGTTGGGTGTGTGTCTGGGTGCCATTTGGTTTTGTGATGGAGTGTTTGAGTTCCAGCAGTTGTTCTTTGGCCAGGGTCAGTGCTGCAGTCAGTTCTTCCCTCTCTTCACACTCACGCCTTACTGTCTCCTCAAGAAAGGACTTCTACATGACAAAAAGAGGGAAAAAAGGTGGAGGGACAGAATGAGACAATATTATTACATCATATCTCTCACAGACCAATACAACCCTAACATACCAAAACTGGACAATATCTCCTCATCAAACTCCCCACAGGGAGATCATGGATGAGCAAAACCTCCTGTCACATGACCATTTCTCCAAGAGCCTCCATAATGGCCACACCAACTGAACATTTACACTTTGTACATTTAATTATACAACAAATATGTATACAACTAAATAAGATTTACAAAAAGTAGCTACAGAGGCTTTAAACCAGTGCTTAATTTGTAAATTGTGAGGTCCCGGAACAAAGTGGGGTGACAGATCTGGCATGATTAGAGGAGGGAGAGGTAACGGAGCATTCGTGCAATGGAGGACCAGCTTACGTGATTAACAGCGTGCATCTTCTTATGGTCATGAAAAAAATTGAAAAGTCATGAAATTTTAAAACAGCCATTTCCAGGCCTGGAAAAGTTTTGGAAAAGTCATGGATTTTTTTCCTTAAATCTCTGTATAATTAATAAATAATTATAAATCCACACATACTATCAGATTAAATCAGTCATTTGAAAACAGCGTGAGTGATTCAGCTGTACTGCGTCTTCTCTCACTCTCAAAGCGGCTTCACAACAGCGCATCTCCTCTGCACTACTGCACGCTGCGATACAAGAATTTTGCTCGGGTTTCGGGACAGTCGACAGAATTGTCACTTGCCTAATCAAGTCATTGTTGCATCGTCACAAGACTGTATCATTTGCACATCTTTAAATTTAAGCCATTCGATACTCGCGTGCTCCAAAGGGTGTTTCCTATGCGCTCACAGTCACATCAATAGCGCGCATATCGCGCCGCCTAGCGAGTACCAAATTTAGTTATTTTTCGCAGCTTGTTGCGCTTACGCCAGCCAAAATACACACATACAAAAAATGATGTCAAAATGATGTCAAAATGGCCGTCCTGGCGATTATCCTCGTAAGCACAGTCGGTTTTGTCTTAACTAAATGTAAACATCTGAGAAAGACAATGCATGTGTATCAGTATTGGATCCGTGCATTCGGGTTTGTGAGAGCAGCCACGTCGCATCTCTGCTCAAGTTTGTTGTTTCAAATGTAGATGCTAGGCAAGCCTGCTCATAATAATAGTTTTTTTCATGAAATATATGCACACTATAGGTCAACACAAACGTCTTTCATTGGCGCGTGAGGAGGGGATCTGTCAAATGAGGTGCCGGATCAGATTTCTGACAAATTCGGAGGTGACAGATCAGGATCCGGCTTGTTCCGGCACAAATTAAGCCCTGCTTTTAACGTATCAATTGCCTTTATCCTCGTTTATAATAAATCTGTAATCCATTCTGATGTTTTATACATAAAAGATCATTTGTACCATATGCAAGTGGGATGGTGGGAAACTCCATTTGGAAAGAATCTAGAGCAGCTGGAATATGATGTGAGCACAAGAGAAATCACACGTGCCTGCGAAAACTCACATGGCCGAGGAATACACCAGGATATTCACACACAAGGTCTGGGAATTTCCGAATCTCCATCACAGATGTACATGTGCTTAAGATTGAGACTGTGGCCAGCATTTCACTTCATGATGTCACCAGCTACAATCTTTAGGTAAAACAGTGTCATCTAGTGGTCATAATGACATACTGCAGTATACAAATGGATTCAGCACTACTCGGACTCCAACCTCACCTCATGTTCAGAATTATGAAATTGCATGTATTTATAAAGGCACTCATGAATGCTTCATTCTAATGGGCTGACAGATGTTCTAAGGGGTCAATATATGTAAGGCAATTAAGTAGTTACAGGTTTGTAGTAGGGTTATTATCATCAGCAAATATATATATATATATTGTTAATTAAAATAAAGCTAAAATTAAAATGTAAATATTAGATCAAAAACTTTAAAATTGAGAAATATTGCATTGGCAAATAACTAAAATAAGTTTAGGTTGAGAAAATAATGTTACGACTTGGTAATTAATTAATAAAAATGACAAAAACATATAAGACAAAAAAACATATAATTACTTACTAAGTAAATAAACTGAATTTAAAATGATAAATGAAAATGTAAAATAAAAATATTCATAAGCTCTCGGATTTCATCAAAAATAACTTAATTTGTGTTCCGAAGATGAACGAAGGTCTTCAGGTTTGGAACGGCATGAGGGTGAGTAATTAATGACAGAATTTTCATTTTTGGGTGAACTATCCCTTTAATGTGACAAGGTGTAACGGGGTTGAAGGCTGTAACACATTTGAAGGCATACATTGCCTTCAATTTTAGGTTTTGTTTCTCTCTCATATTGTCCCCTTCTTTCTGGGTCAATATATCTGCATGGCCAACAATGCAACATGCAAATGTGGGTGCAATTTCTGATGTATGATGCTTGTCAATGTTTAAGTGGACATATTAAATCGAAAATTATATTTATAACAAAAATATGTTGTAATGATTT